GTAATAGGAAAGTATGGAAGAGGAGAACATTCAGGAAAGAAAAATAATGAGTTCAGTTTTGGACATGCTGAATTTAAGTTGTTTACAGGATATCCAGTTTGCGCTGTCTAATAAGCGGTTGAAGATGCAAAACTGGAGGTCAGCAGAGAGGATAGGGCTGAATAAGTCAACTTGAGAGCCATTAACATAGAGATGATAATTGAATTCATAGGAGCTGATGAGATCTCTAAGTGAAATACTATAGAAGAAGAAGGAAAGAGGGCCAAGATAGAGCCTTGTAGGACATTTAAGGTTAGCATGTATGACCTTGATGAAAATCCAACAATGGATACTGAGCCAGAAACAGGAGCATTCAGACAGGTTGTGGGGGCAGGGACCAGGAGAGAGTAGTATCATGAAAACCTAGAGAGATGAGAATATTGAGGAAAAGAGGGTGAACAACAGTATCAAAGGTTCACAGTCAAGCAGGATGAAGATTAAGAAACGGTCATTAAATTTGTCACTTAAGACATTAGTAGTAACTTTGGAGAGAGCAGGTCCAATGGAATGAAGTCAAAAGCCAGAATGTAGAGAATTCAAAAGAGAATGAGAAGAAAGGAAGTGAAGGCACCCATTCTAGAAGGCCTTCTCAAGGAGTTTAGCCACAAAAAGAGGAGAGATAAGGGCCGATAGTTAATGGGGATGAATGCAAAGTGAGGCTTTTTTGAAGTTGGGGAAGACAGTAGAGAAGCAGCTAGTATACATGGAGAGAGATTAAGGAGAAGTAAGAGTGAGGGTGACAGAGGGGGGGAGATCTGCTGGAGAAGACAAAAGGGCCACCTCTTCACATAAAATGGGGTAAAGAAAGAGATGTTGGTGGAAGGCATCTGGGGGGTGGGAGATGAGGAGGGAAGATGAGGGACCTCTCAGTGAATGCCCTCAGTTTTCTCAGTAAAATATGAGGCAAGGTTCTAAATTAAGGGGATAAGAGGATTAAAGAGGGTTAGCAAACTGGTACTGCATTTACTAAGCAAGAAAATTGCTTAAAAGTTGGAAAGATGGTTTAACATCCAAAACAAGACCCAGCCAGAGCTTGCCAGTAGGGTTAGAGGAATGAACACAGTAATTCAGATGTCTGACCAGGGAAGAGGACAGTGGGATTATCAGTTCCCTAACCTTAGAAGTTATGCCTCACTGGATGCAGCTTAAGCCTTCTTCATTGACATATCACACTGTGAATCTTCTTGAGCTTGCAGTCTATTAAAACGCAGATCTTTTTTCAGATGATCTACTATTTACCCAGTGCAGTAGAGTGGGAATAGATTACTGCTAATATAGCAGCTGATCAGTGGCATTTTTCATCTCAAGATGATCTGACCATGTTGGATCTCAAGTCAAACTCTCTGAAGGTTTGTTTTCTCTGAAGTTCCTTTTTCCCATTTTGTGAGCTGCTCCTGCTTATAATCTTTCTGTCTTCCTCCTGTCAAACGAGCTTGTACTCTGAATCAGTGTTATTTATCCTCAGCTGCCACTTCTCTCTCTGCCTGGCAAATAGAACAATTGTTTGCTGCATGAGGTGGTTTCTGACCTCTTTGATCTCCTTTTAGTAGGTATTGCTTTTTATTAGTTAAATTTTTCTAAAAAATGCAAAGTCACAGTCAGTGTCCTTACATTTGTCCATTTCCCATTTTCTGAACTGGACTTTGTTTAAATAGGTCACAATATATGATAACATTCAATATCCTCTCATCGGAATCTTTTCTTCTAACTTACTGTTTTCTCTGGCCTGCAATGATCAGACTGCACACAGATAGCTGATTCTGAAAGGACCATTAGATCTGTAACCAGTCATTTCCTGTCTCTTAAGCTATCTTCAATTTCATGGAAATGCATAGACTAAAAATGTGAGGCAGGACCTTTTCACTCCCAAACCACCAGGGTGCCCACACACAGCTATTATGTTTCTTCCCTTTGTAATTGCTTTCCTTCCTCTGACAGAATAGAAACCTTTCTGAGACATGGAATCCAAGTTGAGGTAGTGGGTGGTCTGACACATCCGCCTCCAAGCTCCTTAATAAATTCACTTTGGACCTTGGCAGGCAGCCTGAAGCCCCTGCTTTGGGACTTCAGTCCTTTGGGTTAAGGCATTGTCTCAATAAAAATCCCCTTTAAAAATGCAAATACCTCTTATAAGGATAACATTTTAAGCCATTATCAGCTAGCAAAATCTTTTCATTAATTTCTTCACTCTCCCCTCCATCCCCAGGTTAGAAAGTCAGGCAAACAAGATTGCATAACTCTGACAGAAATAAAAAGATGACAAAAATATCTTAATTTAAGCTTAGCACAGTTGCTCAGTACATAGTAGGAGCTATTTGTTGATAAATTGGAGGAGTAGGGAGGAACAGTTCTAGATCATAGGTATCTAAGACTCTGGTGTTATTGGGACAACTGAGGCAGGGGACATAGTGGAATCAACCAGGGACCATGACAACATTCTAGTACAAGGGAGAAGGAAGGAGTGCATGTAACTTTTAATTAAAGAGTGACACTTTGGGGATTCAGGTTGAGTTAGGCAAATAGCTCCCTAATTACTCTCTTGCTCCCAGATCTAGTACAGATTGCTGGCTTGAATTTCTGCTTCAGTAACCAGTTTTCCACTTCTTCCTCAAACTGCTGGATGCTAGTATAATAAAGAAACCCTAATAGCAAATGGTCTGGCCCTTTGGTTTACAACTGCTTGAATTTCAGTTTGGATTTACCCTTCTCCCAAGGAAGGGATCATTTCTTCCTGGCCCCACTATTTCTTCCAAGAACTGGCACAGGGCACATGCTAGCTCTTCCCTAGGCAGGATATAACACCATGGTCTGGATAAGACGATTTAGAGAAAGGCAGCAGAGAGCCCTGGACAGCCTGATGCTTTATGAAAGAGAGTCAAGAAGCATTTATTAAGCTCTTACTATATTCCAGGCACTATACTAAGTACAGGGTGAGAAGGATATGTGTGTGGGATGGAAGGCTGTGTCTGTTGGGGTACAGAGGAAGGAAGAGAAAAGGGGGAAGAGGTGATTTGAAAAGGAGAAGAGGATTTTGAACTGGTAGGAAGGAGAAGGGAATCAAAGGAAATCTTTGTCTATTTTTTTTTCATTTTGCAAAGGCTATATATTAAAGCTGACAAAGTCATGATAATTAAACTATCTATATCATACTGAAAGCAAATCTCTGGCAAAGAGTCATAATGAGAAACACGATAAATGAGATTCATGTTTTGGATAGGGTGGGACTAGATAAGACCAATTCTACCTCTAAGACTATATGACTCTAAGATGAATTTAGAAACAGAAACAAGAACAAGTAGGAGGAAATGAAAGTTTCTTCAACAAACAAGATGATGCCTCAGTGTGGGAAATTCCCTCCACCCACTGAAACTGTCTATACTTAGACAAATCCTAGGGAGTTGCCTGAGACAAATAAAGGTTAAGTAGTTGACCCCGAGCCACACAGTTTTTAAAATGTCAGAGTTAAGATCTGAACCCATGTCTTCCTGACTCTCAGACCAATCTGACCATTAATGATCTGTCCATTATGTCACAGTGCCTCTAAATAAAAATAAGTGAGAGGAAATAAACTCAACATATTCAAAAAACAGCCCAGTTCAATAAAACTTGCATTAGTGTTTACCATGTGCAGCAATGTCACTCTCATTATGGATGCATAAATGAATATCTTTGTACCTTCCCAAACCACACTACCACATTCATTGTCTCAGAATTTTAACCAGTTTTCCTGATTGCCTTAGGCTTCCAATTAATTTGCAACGGGACACTCTTTTATTTGGTTCCTTAAACTACTAACACTGAACACCAATCAGATATCCTAGCCCTCACCCATGATGATCAATCCATATGCGTGTGTTAAGCACCTACTTTGTCTGACAGTGTACTAGGTGCTAGGGACATGAAGACAAAGCATGAAACAATCTCTACTCTCAAAAAGCTATCATGTGAAGGAAATGAAGGTTCCAGTGCTTCACCAAATTAAGGAGAGTGACAAGAACTTGGTGTATTCTGGATGTGCCAATTCCAGAGGGTGACCTCTCAAAGGACTTCTGATTTCCTTCTTCCTGATGTAACCTGAGGTCATCATGAGGCTGTATATTTATCTGTAAGATTATGAAGGATTATAGAATCATAGATCTGGATCTGGAAGCATTCTGAGAGGTCATTTAGTCCAACCCTTTGATTTTATAGATGAGGAAACTGAGGCCAGGGAGTTTAAGTGACTTGCTCAATCTGTCATATAGGTAGTAAATTATTGATGCCTGTCTGGATTTATCCTTGATTATCCCCACCCATCTCTTTGTGTCTCATTTTGGACCTCATGCCCTCTGGAGTGTGAATCAAAGCATGCTGTAATAAAAACCTATTGGTTTTTAGCATTACTGGATGATATTTTTCTTTGAAAGCTTCTAAGTCCCAAAATGTAGCTGCAATGGACTGAGGCATCAATCTATTGCAAACATAACTAACTATACTAGAATCTAGCTCAAATTTCTCTGTCTTGTCATTCTTTCAATCATTTATTGAACCAATATTCATCAGACTCTTACTTTGTGTAAAAATCCTGCTGATGTCTTACCATGGCATGGAAATGGCCAGGAATTCTTAGAGTTTATGCCAACATAAGTACATTGCTGGAATGCCTTGGAGAATGGTCTGAGAAACAGACTGAATCTGCTTTGCATGAATCAGTCTGGCTATTACATTGGCCACTTGGTGGAGAATTCTTTGACCACAGCAACTCACAAGACAAAGAAAAGTGTAAAATTGCCCCCCACCCATGCCAGTGACAAAAAGGGGCCAAAAGGATCTTAGGAATTGTGTTTTTTAGAACATCTGTAGGCTTTAACGTTAACCATCAGTACTCTAAATGGGAGATCCTTATTTGATTACTGAATTAATATGCCACTGGAGGAACTGAATTGAATCCATCTTGATTTTCTCTCCATAAATAAAAACAGACAGAAAGTTAAAGGGACGGCTCACTGCTTCTTCTTGGAGAGACAGATAAAAGAGTTGGCAAAGTTGATTTTATTGTATCCAAAGGTAAGAGGAAACATAATTCTGTGGAATATTTTGTCTATGATAATATATGTGAAAAGACCATTAGGAAAATAATTGAAACCTAATGCAACATTGTTTGTTGCATAGAATAAAGAGGTAGAGAAATTTGATGAAGGATACAGTAAGACCCTCCAGCCAAAATCCACACAAACTTTCATTCTTTGTGACTTCAATGCAAAGGTGGGAATATGTGAAGATAGTGAAATATAAGGAATGGTAGAGGCCAGAGATTTTCATATTATTTAAAAGTCTCATGCTTACATATCATTAATGTTTTCTTTTAGAAAATAATCAGCAGGTGCTCAATATGACAAACAGTGAGTACACCCAAAACAAAAAAATGAAATCTATTATATTAAAATGACAGGAAATAACATGCTGCTGATGAGGGGAGTCATGCCTGATTCAGTTGTTAATGTATAGTGAGATCATCAGCTTGTCAGAGCAAAGATTAAAATTAGTAAGAAACTAAAAGGAAGAATAAAAAAGGAGGAAAAGTATGTCAGACAACTCAAACAACTGAATCATAACCTATTCAAATATCTTATTGATCATTAAAGGCATGATATGAATGGAAGAAACGACATAGACACTAACTGTAATAAATTCATACAGAGGCTTAACTGGCATTCATTAGTTGTCCTAATGAGACCAAAAGAACCTAAAAAGTACATTAGCCATCAAAATTTGACTTAGTTGACAAGCAGAGAGATGTGACAGCTAGAGTTAAAAACAAGTTCATTATTGTGTGAACTCATTTTTAATAGTTCTCCATTCTTATGGAGAAGCATGGCAGAATATTAATGAGCAATATCACCTCATAAAGAGAAGCAATGGAAGATACAAACAGTTAAAAGAAACCTTGGCAAAGGACCCAACTAAGTAAAGCTGGATGGCAATGTGATACAATGGAAAAAACAGTGTATTACAATGGAAAAAACAGTGTATTTGGAGTCGGTGGACGTGGATTCAAATTTTAGCTCTGCCACTTGTTACCTCAGCAAGGCCCAATTCAGAGAAGTCTATGCTCACCAAAGGTGCTATTATCATTGAGGATATCAAGAGAAGAGTACAGGTTGAAGAGGAACTCCCTATAGATCGTGAGGTCTGTGAGGTACTCCTGTTTGTCGTCACCTTGTGCCCCAGACCCTTGAAGAGCCCCCTGAATAAGATCCATGACTCTGCAGGAGTCTGGCCTAATCATCCATACAGGGAAAAAATAATTAAAACAAAAATAAATATTGTCAGTATTATGGCACACAGTTAAATTCAACATACATATCTTAGATAGCCTACATCAGATTGCTTACTGTCTCAGGGAGAGGAGAGGGGAGGGAAGGTGGGAGAGATTTTGGAGCTCAATTTTTTAAAAAATGAATGTTAAAACTTATTTTTATATGTAATTGAGGGAAAATATCATTTAAAAAAGAAGAAAATGGACAGTGAGTTAGACCTAGAATTAAATGGGAGGAGAAGAGTATGCTGGATTGCATTTGGAAAACTGCAAAGCTCCTTTAATGATCCCTAAATTTCTCTCTAAAAGAAAGGATTGTCTTTTTAAAAGCAATATTTTACTGGTTTTGTTGTATAGCTGTGAGTCATGTAATACTACAATCTCTGAGGAATTAAAAATGTGTATGAGTCAGAGGGCAATGGAGAAGTGCATAATGAATGTGAGGAGGCTGAAACATATAATCAACGAGAAACTATGAAAAAGAACTAAGAAAAGGTTATCGTCAAAGTAATATATGATTGAAAAAAGTACGTAGCTTGGTCTTATGGCAAAAATATGGAATAACTGTTAGAAGACCTCTGTGCTGCACTATCTGCATGACGTCAAGAGAAAGTGAAGAAGGCACATGGGGTGTTGAACTCATGGGACAACACTGGCAGGAGATTCATAGGGTGGGCAGTCATTGATGAGTTGCAATCTTCACCACTGAAGGGAAGTCACATTTATGATATATCCATTTGACCATTTGAATATACATGATATGTTTGAGAAATGTATGTCTCTTTGGGTCATCCTGAGATTTTGTCCAATCATTTGTAGAACTCAGAATATAGTATGTCTACCCCATTCCCCCCATCTACTAGTCTAGGAACCTTAACACAAAAGGGAATGAGAGTAGTTTCAGATTTGTTATCCTAAGCTGGCTTTTATTGATCCCCAATTTTATTCCTAAGTGTTCAGAAACCACATATTTACTAATTTATCTGGAATCTTATCAGGAATCAATGTCAATATCATTGGTCTGTGCTTTCTGGAATCCACATTTTACTCCTTTTTGAAAATCAATACTTTGTCCATCTCAATTCTCATTGCACCTTTCCCATTTTCTGTATAGAGTCATCTGCTGTGTGTCCCACGCACGCACATGCCTCTAAATCCTCTAATGACCCAGAGGATCTATCTGGACTCTCATGCCTGGCTTTCCCTACCATCCTAACTGTGGCCTAAGCCAGGTTCACAGCACCATAACTTCATGACTAAGGTATTCATCTTTTAAAACAAAGTTGGTGATACTGACCTAGACAGAATTATCATCTTTGTAAATAAATTGAGCTAGTATCAGATTTGTTAGGCAGAGAATTAAATTTTAGCTAAATATGACCAAGGTAAGTTACAGTATCCATGAGGACATTATCAGAGATTCTCCCACTGGGCGTATATTGTCATCATCATTGTTAACTTCTATATGGTGCTTTAAGGTTTATGAACCACTCTACACATATTACCTCATGTAATCCTCACGACCCTGGGAAGTAGGTGCAATTAATATTCCCATTTTACAGAGGAGGAAACTAAGACAGAGGGTAAGTAACTTGCTTAAGGTCCCACCCAACATTCACGCAGATATCAATTAATAACTATTTGTTGAACACTTGCTCTCTGCAAGGTACTAGGGTAGGGATAGTGGGGTTAGAGATATAATAAACAAAGTCCCTGTAGGATACTATAGAGAGGATTCTTATTCAGTTTGGGTTGGAGATACAAGATCACAGGATCACAGCTGAAAGGCATATCTGAGGTCTTTTAGTCCAACCTCCTTAGGTTATAGATGAGGAAACTGTGTAACAATAGAAGTTCCTTAGAACTCTGAGAACTCTCTTGAATACTTAAAGACCAACACTTAAGAAAAACATGATCCACAATGGGGAAGATTCATGTTTACAAAAAGTATTAAAAAGAATCCTTGAACCAAATTCAAGTGTAATGTTATTACTGGTTTTAAAGGAGATAATGTATATGGAGTACTCCGCAAATCTTAAAGTGTTATGCAAATATCACTATTATCATTATTATTCAAACATGCCTACAAAGGAAGATTCTGAGGAGAGTCTTTCTGTAAAAGGTATTATTTAACATCATCTTCTCAGTAAGTTAATAAACAATTATTAAGTACCTACCAAGTGCCAGATGACTTAGTGCTGAGGACACAAAGAATGGCCGGGGCTAGTACCTGACCTCGAGGAGCTTACAATCTAATGGGGAAGAGGACACATTAAAAAAAAAAAGCTGAAAAGGGAGAGGTAGTATCTTGCACTAGAAGCATGAGGAAAAGTCCAGAGGAAAGCAGCCTGTTGGGAAATTATGAGGCAGATGCCATGGGAGCCCTCCTTAAATGGAGCCTCTTTGATGTCCACTCTCCACCCCAGGGAGGGAGGGGCACCCCAGGGGCAGGGGGAACTGAGGAATAGTGTGTTTTAAAGTTGATGTGATCTTGCAGGAAGATGAGTTTCTGGAAACAATGAAGAAGTCCAGCAGAGTAACCAGGTGACCTATGTTACCTACTGTGTAAACATAAGAAAAGTAAAAGATGTAATCTCTGCCCTCAAGGAGAGGTAGCAGTCTACTCCCGGATTCCTGTCACACATTCATGAAGAACTTAAATAATATCAATTGCTTACTGTTAACACAGCACGTCACAATTATGGAACACTACCCGGTTGGTTCATCACAACAGCCTTCTGAATGTACTATGGCAATTATTGTGGAGGTACAATGTTCAGGAGAGTGGGATCAGAATGATGAAAAGTCTAGAAACCATAGGAAGAAACCATGCATCTTTAGTGTGGAGGAAAAGAGAGGTCTCAGTGGGATTATGATATATTTAAACAGCTGACATATGGAAGAAAGATTAGATTTGCTCTGCTTGGATTTTAGACCAGTGGTCTCCAAACTTTTTAGATCACATATCCCTGTCAGAAATAAATAAATAAACAAATAATGTTGAACATACCCCCCCATGTATGTATAAATATTTATAAATTATGTATGTGCGCTATTTTATAGATAGTATACTCACTCTTTCCTACTGGAAACCAAAAAAAAAAAATGGAGAGGAACACCAGACTCTTACTGATCACTGCCCTGGAGCACAGAGTCGACTCCAGATGGCTCTGGAGGTGATCAGGAGGGCAGAGGTGGGTATGCTGGAGTGGGGGTGGGAGTGGGGAACTGTAGCACTTTCTGAATGGCTGCTGCTTTGGGTGTCTGGGCATTAATCAGGTAATAAATGTTCTAAAGCATAATTGCTGGGACCTGAGAAATTGGAACCTAAATAACAGTGGGAGGTGTCTAGGGGGATAATGGGTGAAGAGTAGATATGATTGTGTTTGAATTGATTCCCAGAATGGGCCATTGCAGGGAGGATAGGATTCAATCCATATTCCTCCCTTCTACTGGGTTGATCACACAACCCTTAGAGCCTTGATATGACTCCTACTTTGAAGACCAATGATGTAGAGGGCAGAACTGGGGTCAATGAGTGAACCTGAGGAAGAGCTTCCTAATAATTAGAAAAATGGGCTGTCTCAGAAGGTAGTGAGACCCCTTCCCCATTGGAAGTCCTCAAGCAGGTGTTGGGAGACTGCTTTTAGAGGAGATTTCTGTTCAGGTATGCATTGACTATATGGCCTCTGGAATCAAGGCATGCCCTGAGAAAAACTGGGCAGTATCAGAGAGTCAGCCATAGCTATGGGTAAGAGAGAGGCAGTAAAAAGTTGGAATTAGAGTCAGAGTAGAACAGCAAAAAAGAGCACTAGATTGGGAGTGTGGGGACTTAGGTTCAAAACCTGGCTCTACTGGTGCAGTGGATAGAGCACTGGTCCTTGAGTCAGAAGGATCTGAGTTCAAATGCTGCCTCAGACACTTGACACGTACTGGCTGTGTGACCCTGGGCAGGTCACTTAACCCTGATTGCCTTATAAAAAAAGAAAACAACGAAAACCTGGCTCTAATGCTTCCTACTACTTGCATGACTTTGAGCAAATCATTTTACTTAGTTTCTCAGTTTTCTCATCTGTTAATGAGAAATTAGGAGGTTGGACTGGGTGATCTCCATGGCCTTTCCAGTTCTACTACCATGTGGGCAAACCAACAACTCACAATATTTAATCATACATAGTGATGAGACTCCTGGGATTTTTAAATGTCGTGAAATTATTCCCTCCCTAGCAGTGCAAATACAACCCTGTCTGCAACCTCCAACAGTTCTGTCTAGTAAACGGTTTCAGTCACTGGGGCTGATTTGCAGGCACTCCCAAAGGAAATCTGAGGGCAACCCTATTTTTTCAGAGAGCTTCCCACATGGGCAGAAATGTTTAACAAGAAATAGGGATATGGGAGCACACTTTTTTGGTGATCTCTGTCTCTCTCTGTCTCTGTGTCTCTCTCTTTGTATCTCTCTGACTCTCTGTCTCTCTGTCTCTTGTCTCTCTGTTCTGTCTCTGTGATTATCTGTCTCTCTCTGTCTCTCTGTTTCTGTCTTTCACTGTCTCTTTGTTTCTCTCTGTATCTTTCTGTCTCTCTCTCTCTCTGTCTCCTTCCCTTCTTCCCTCTCTCCTTCCTCTCTCCCTCCCTGCCCCCCTGTGGCTACAGAAGGGGAAGGGACTAAGGGGATGAATTGGTCTGGCTGAGGAAAGATGTACGAAAAGAGAGGAGAGAGCTGGAGGAGGGACAAGTGCTAAGGATTAGAGATAAAAAATACAAGCAAGCGAAACTATTCCTGCTACTAAGGCACATACAATCTAAGGAGAGTGAGAAGAACACCATAATGGAAGAGGAAGATAAAGGAGATACTGGCTGTGGGAGCCAATGCTGTCACCAACTTTGTATCCCACATGGGGGAGAGGGGGAAAGGAACAAGGATTTATTCAGAATCTCCTGTGTGCCAGGTGGGGTGTGTGGGGTGTTTGGCGAGGACTGGAACCTCTGGTGTGAGGGCTGCTGAGTCCTTTTCAGGGCTGCTTATCCACCTTTGGTGTCCACCTGTCACCCAACTCTCACCTGTGGCTCCGAGAAGCTGTAGTGTGCCTAGCAGCCATACCCCCATAAAAAACACCTTGGCAATTAGGTTAAATCAGGTTGAGGGTAACAGACAGGTCTGTCAATGAGTTAGGGAAATGTCTACCCCAAGCATAGAAAGACTTCCTCCATTGGAATGGGCAGATGAGCACAATTTGTTCCAATGGCCGTGAAAGCAGCTAAAGCAGGTGCTGTGGATCATTTGGAATTTGGTCAGACTTTGAAGACGACCAAGGTCATCCACTGTATCCTGGGCCATCACTAGTCATCTTGACTTTTGTCCTGGCACTGGACTTTGATGACTCTTGAAGAGAGAGTGAGGCAGATGACTTTGCACAACCTTGCCTCACTTAAATTCAATTCACATGCGGGTGAAGACATCACCCATCATCCAACAGCACCCCCACATCATGGTGTCATTGGTCCTCTTTGAAAACAAAAGATGAACAACAATTATCTGCCAGGCACTGTGCTAAGCACTAAAAATAGCATCTCATTTGATGCTCCCAACAACCCTATGAGGTAGCCACCCATATTTTAGAGTTGAAAAAACTGAAACAGATTAAAAAACTTATCCAGGGTCACACAGCTAGTAAGTGTTTGAGACTGGATTTGAATTCAGGTCTTCCTGACTCCTGGTCCAGTGTTCTATCCTCAAAGCTATCTTGTGGATTTGCTTCCATTAATATTGTTCAAAATCTAAATTAGCTTTCCCTAAATATTGCTACTAACTCCACTTTAAAACTCTTTCAACAGGTACCAAATCTAATCTTCCAGTTCCACAGACCCTTCCCTTCATCACCAGCCATTCATCATAAAGTTTTGCTGCATTGTGGCACCCAAGGACTTCCTAGAATGTTCAAAAAGATCAATAGATCAACAAGCATATATTAAGCACCTAGTATGTGCCAGGGGACACTAGGTGCTGGAGATAAGAAGAATCTCTATTTAAAAGTTTATATCTCTATACCATTGACTTTTAAAAAGTGCCCCAACCCCACCCACCATTTCTACATAAAACCCTGAACCCTTTGCTTTCTAGTATAATGGGGGTTGCACCTCATGGACAGAGTTATCCTGCCTACTTCTCAATGACCAGGTGGGCTGGCTCAATGCTTGATTCAGGAGCTTATTGGGGTGATGGAGCAATCCTCTTATTGTGAGTTCTTTACCCTGATGAGACTAACAAGGGAAGGGCTGCATCAGTTTAAAGAGGAGAGACAGCTTCCAGCTCTCTGTCTCTGTCTCTCCTTTTCCATCTCTCTGTCTCTGTCTCTCTATCTCTTCCTTTCTGTCTCTGGAACGTATGACCAATAGTTCTCTCTCCTTGAATTTCCCATGGAGGGTGGGTGAAGAAAGGAAGCTCATCCTACCACAATCAGCTACTGCTCCCACAAAACGACTAGAGCAAGGCTCAGCTAGGTGAGCTTAAGCCTCAGATTCTGGCTGCTTCTTTTGCTTTGAATTTCTTTGCCTGAATGTAGGTGACTGAGCAGCAATCCTAAAATGGACATATCCAGCCTTGGAGGTCACCTCATGAACTCAAGAGGATCCTTAGTCAGTATGAGAAATATTTTTCTTATATCTGTTTCTGGGCTTCTTGAAGAAGACAATCGCCAGCCAGAGTATGAGAGCAAGTCCTGGGCTGACTTACCAGAAGATGTGGATCTAGAAGGAATTGTTTAGACAGTGTAGAGCCAAGGTGAAATATAAAATGTCTATTCATCTGTCCATGAAACTGCATCATGTCTGTGTTTTAAGTATCAACCTCCTGGGAGAGTATAATAGCAGCTATATTAATATATCCATTTCAAGTCTTTTGTCAATGCATGATTGCAAATCTTGTGTATGCTAAGTATGTCTTTTGTGCAGAGGAAATAAAGCTGGTCTGTACCTTATCTATAATCTACATTTTTGCCTTTCTATTCCTCTCTTTTGGGGCAACCCTAGATATGATCCAAAACCTAAGCTATAAGTAATGTTTTTCTGGGATGTCAGGTTGGGAGAATAAAGTCAGGGTGCTGACTCTTCTTTTCAGTGATCGTGTTCCCTTGGAATTAAATCTGGTTAACACATCGATGGGTCTAGAGCAAAGGAGCTCCTCAATGGAGAGGGCAAGGGCACAATAATAATGAAAGTTTGACAGCAAATGACAGAAATTTTCATGTACAATGTAGTTTAGAATCTAGTCAATATATCTCCAACTGTACTTTCATAGAATAAAGCCAGGGAATTCATGGAGCCCAGCAGGTACAGGACTACTGGTTTGGAAGTCAGGAAGGCCTGAGTTTGACTCCTACCTCAGACACTTACTAGCAATGTAACTTCAGACAAATCACTTAACTTCTTTGGGCCTCAGTTTCCTCATCTTCCCTCATCTATAAAGTGAGGGGGGTTGGACTCAATGACCTCTAAGATCCTTTCCAGCTCTAAATCTATAACCCTATCAATGCATACAGTTGCTGTCCTAGCTATAGTCTGACTGTTTTTAACCTTTTGGCAAAAAAGGTAGTTGTGGGGTAAGACTTTAACATTTAGTGTGCAAGGAATAAGTGGCAAGATTGCACCTACCTGCTATGTCCTAACGGTAGAATCCAAATTCTCACATTTTACTGCTGGGACAACAGAGAGAAATTCAGAAACATACTCTGTGCCTTTACATTCCAGTGTCAGTCTACAAGAGCTAACTGGGATGGGAAGAGTGTTGACATTTCAGCTGCCCTACTTACCTTGGAAAGGGTGGAGAAGCAAAATGCACCAGGTTTGAGTGCTGAGAAACCCCAAGCTGGCGAGAATAGAGCAAAGGGAATTCAGAGTGGTTTATCTGGTTGGAAAATTCTTTGAGCAAAACAGTCTGGCTTTGCTTCTGGAGACTGTAATCCAGGACAGGAAAGGAGGTAAACAACAGGATTGCCCTCTCCATTTGGTTTTCTTCCCATGCGCTCTTAGCTAATTGCTCTGTGTTAAGGGGGAAACCTGTTGTGCCCATGGCAGGAAAAGAAGATGAAAGTCAAATCAACCTTTTCAGTACAAATACCAACAAAGCTGTGCTTTGCACATAGTAGGCACTCAATAAATGTCTGTCAGTAATTGTAGTAACATTTTTGTAGAGGCTGAGTCTTGGGAGCCAAGCAGATGTCCATCAGTTGGAAAATGGATGGACAAATTATGGTGTTGAATACAACAGAATATCTATCATTGCCCTTTAAGAACTGAAGAATGTAAAGAATTTAGAGAAGCATGGGAAGACTTGGATGTACTATCAAGTGAAGGGAGCAGAACCCGAGAAACAATATATGCAACAACTCGAATAATGTAAATAAAGACAATGTTCAAAGGAAGCCAAACTCTGAGTAACTGGGGGGAAAAGTTTTGACTGGTCCTAGAAACGAGGTCATGAAATAAACTTCCCTCCACAGGGCTTGGTAGTGTCAAAAATGTGAGGAATTCATTTAGAACAAAGTAGAACAAAGACAAGGCCTAATATTTCAATGTGTCTTTGCCTCCTACTTAGCCCTCCCTCTAGTCTATGCTCAGAATGACTGGTGGGAAGATGATTTAAGGACACCTCAGGGAAGTTAGTTTTCCAAGATCTGTTCCTAAATTGGTTGGGTGGTCTTGTCAAATCCCCTCAGACTCAGAAACGCTAGGAATGGGAATCCAGAGGTTGTTCTGACATTGTTTTCCAAAACTCTGGTTTATAGTCATACTCCCCTTGCTGTCCTTCAGTCATTTCAGTCACGCCCAACTCTCTCGGACCTCATTTGGAGTTTTCTTGACAAAGATACTAGAGTGGTTTGCATTTTCTTCTCCAACTCATTTTACAGATGAGGAAACTGAGGCAAACAGGGTTAAGTGACTTGCCCAGGGTCACATAGCTATAAGTGTGTGAGGCCAGGTTTTAATTCAGGATGATGAGTCTTCCTGACTGCAGGCCTGGCACTCTATCCACTGAACCACCCAGCTGCCCTGTCATACCCCCTTGGAACCCAGGAAACAAAACAGGCCTGTCAGAGGGGTGACTCACCACCAATTTCCCTTCATGTAAGCTGGTTGCCATGAGAACTACATTCCTCTCACCTCTTTATCAGGCTAGAGCTGAGAAGTATAGGGTTCTTTTGACTTATTCCATTGGTCTTCAACCAGAGTTGATGCCTGCAGAGTCCAATGCAATTCAGCAAGCATTTATTAAGCACACACCATGTGCCAGTGATATTGGGATACAAAGATAAAACAAAAAAGTCTCTGCCATCAAGAAACTTGTATTTGATTGGGAAGAATAAATAAATAAATAAATAAACGGCTGAGGACATACATACAAGATAATTTTAGCGGGGCAGGGACCACAACCAACGAAGCATATCAGGAAAAGCTTCCAGTAGGAAAGGGTGCGTGAGCTGAGCCTTGAAGGAAGCCAAGGATTCTAAGAAGCTGGGGTGAGAGGGAATGTGTTTGAGGGATGAGGGACAGCCTGCAAGAAAGCAAACAAGTGGGGCAGCTAGGTGGCCCAGTGGATAGAGCACAGGCCCTGGAGTCAGGAGGACCTGAGTTCAAATCCCACTTCAGACACATAACACTCACTAGCTGTGGGACTCTGGACTCTTAACTCCAAATGCCTCTTTAAAAAAATAAAAAGCAAACAAGTGGGAGATGGACTGCTGAATTCAAGCAAGATAAAGTAGGACAGTTTGGCTGGAATGTAGAAGCCCTCATTTGTTCAAGCTGAATGCAAGCTGACATTCATGAGAGACAAATAATAGGTAATTGTAAATAGGTAGATATTGGCTCTTAAATGGCACGTTCTTCATCATATAGATATTATGTCTACCTATATCACCTGACCCCACCCATGTATTTTTTTTTTTTGCTAAAACAAGACACAACACGGGTATAAGGGGAAAATCCCCTCTCGGTAGGAGAGTTGGTAAGGGTGTTAGGATCAGGTAAAAATAGTTTGGGCATAAAACAAAAAGACAAAAATAAACATTCCTGGTCCTGTTTGTCATTGTTCAGTCATTTCAGTCATGTCCAACTCTTTGTGACCCTATCTGGGGTTTTCTTGGCAGTGATTTGCCTTTTCCTTCTCCAGCTCATTTTACAGATAAGGAAATTGAGGCAAAGAGGATTAAGTGACTCGCCCAGGGTGACACAATTGGTAAGTATCTGAGGTCAGATTTAAACTCCCAAAGATGAGTCTTCCTGACTTCAGGCCTGGCACTCTATCCACTGTGCCACCTAGCTGCCCCCAGCAACAACAACAAAGAATGGTTTTGGCATTAAAGGGAAAAAAAGGTAAAAATTCACTTTGCTGAATTGTGTTTCCAGGGGATGTAATTCCTATCTTTGATTTGTGTGTTTTCAGGTTTGCAAAGCTGGCCCAGGGGAGTGCAGAGAACTTCCCTTCCTCTGGGGTCCCCACAACCATGACAGTCTATCGAGGGCTCCACCCTTCCCTACCCTCCTCACAGTTTCTCCTTTGCCAGATCCCTGCCTGTTCCAACTCAGGCAGTCAAATAAGAGAAGAGGTGGGTGGTTAAGTAATTTATTTGTACTTGCATGCTTAATTTAAATCATACATAGCTCACTAAATAGGAGCTTTTGGCTCTCAGAGAAGACATGCAAACCCTTTTGTCTGGGAGCCTTTCCATCTGTAAAGATGCCCACCACTAAGCCGAAAGTAAAAACTCAGCAATTCATGTCCCATTTAGACACCAGTGGGTTCTGGGCATGTTCTCGATCTGGCCAAAAGCATTTCTGTTTTATCCTTATTTCTTTGGTATTCCCTTCCTCCCGGACCAGCACATGTTTATTTAAAGTTTAAGGTCTGCTGGGACTTGTAGGTAGAGAAACACCGTAGGTTACAAGCACAAAGAAGGCCTTCAGCCATTTGCTTCTTTGTCCACGAGCCTCAAATCTAAGTGGTTCTCCTTAGAGCTTTCCTTATACGCTGCACACAGTGAGCGCCTATTGTGGACCATTAACTGGCTGCCAGACTTACTGACTTGCCCCATGCTAGCATCAGCAGATAACATGGTTAGTGTGGGTCATGGCTCACATCCAAGTATTTGGCTGAGGCATTTGGAGACACCTTGAGAAAATGTCCTGAACGGGTGTTTTGGACAAGCCTAACATCCCATTTAAAGGAGAAGAGCTTGAAGTTTTCTTCAGGTTTTTTTTAGCTTGGCCTCTGCAATCTGGCCCAGTCTGTTTACAGATTGGGACTGATCCAGGATGGGAGGTCAAAAAAAGTGCAGCTTCATACATAATGTATGTTGAATTGGAATAAGGACCCCATTATACTCTACTTTCTCTTGCCTTCTATGAAGCTCCACCAACCATAGGCTCTATGATTTGTACTTGAAACAAGAAAGAAGCAAATATCCAGCTTTCTGCAATTTTAAGTTGCTTCAATTATGAAGACATCTGTAGGTGGGCTCCCTCACTCTCCAGGTCTGAATATTGGGCAAACCTGGGCAAATTCACCCATATCTTTAGTTTCTCCCTTCACTCTGGTTAGGGAGGAAGAAAATAATATGCAAAACAAATAAGATATTCTACAGGAGAAAAAATTCTAAAGGAAATGAATAGTGTTGGAACAGCTAATAAACTGCTTACCTATTTCCAGAGGCAAATTTCTTTACTTGATATTGAAGATCTTTGTTGTCTTCTCCATCAGAATGCAAGCTCTCTGAGAATAAAGATTGTTTTATTTATTTTATATAATAATATCTGTATAAACTATATATATCCTATAGCATTATATGGTAATATGTCATTATGGCATTTATATAAGGCTTTAAGGTTTTGTCAAACCCTTTACATACATGTAATCTCATTTGATATTCATAACAACTCTGTGAGGTAAGTGCTATTGTTATCTCCATTTTACAG